ATAATAGTGATAGTAGTAGTAATTTTTCTTCTTATTATAATTATTGTTTTTATTATTACAACGATGATGATAAAAACAATATTAATGATGACGATAATAACATTAATAACAACAATAATAGCAGCAGGGTTGTGAGGACGGGCTGCAGGAGCAGGTGTGAACTTGTAACAGGAAGTGTGTGTCTCTTGTGTTGTGCAGGTGGAGGCAGGTGTCATGGCAGGTAAGCTTTCTGCTCAGACTCCAGTCTTCTGTCTCTAACAGCTCGYATTGTTTCACTGCAGAGCTGTTTTTCTGTAGGAGGCAGCTGGCTAAACGTAGCGTCTCAGGCCACCCAGAAGTCCTGGAGGGACAGAACCGGCCCGTTTCAGAGGAAGAATCCCGAGCAGAGACACCTGGCTCAGGTGAAGAGCTTCTTCATGAATCCTCAGCATCATGTTGGTTGTTTGTCTCCGCTCAGCTCAAACGTCCTCTCGCTGCTTCTTCTTCCTTCATCTGTCTTTTAGGATTTTCTGAACGGATATCCAGGACGGATCCCAGCCACCCCATCAGAACCCAGAGTCCCTGGTACCGACCTGACTCCAGAACCTCTTTACTTCGAGGTGAGAGGAGGCAGCCTGCTGCTCCCACCTGGTGTCAGAGTGAAACTAAACAGCTTGTCTCTGTCTTTGTCTCTGTCTCTGTCCTCTAAGGACGAGGAGGAATTCCCAGATCTGCGGAACGGAGGTGCAGTCCTGATCCGCAGCAAACCAGAATCTGCTCCTGCTCAGACCCAAACTCAACCCAAACTGCCCAAAAACCTGGTGAGACCAAGACCAAGAAGAACCTCTCTAAGGTTCTGAGTACAAACAGGTTTATAGTGTCCTCCAAGACCAGACAGTCCTCCGTCTGTCCCCTCTTCTGTCTGCTGTTTATATATCACTATTGGAGCTGACTGGGTCCTGCAGAGACGACCAGGACCGGGTCCTGCAGAGACGACCAGGACCGGGTCCTGCAGAGATATGAACTTTCAGAAATTAAGCCAGCTTAGAAAAAGCAAACAAAAATAAAAACACTAATAAATTATAAACTGCTGTCAGGACACGTCTCATCTTTATGGTTCTCATGTCTGTCTCATGTTGTCTCTGTCTCATGTCTCTGTCTCATGTTGTCTCTGTCTCATGTCTCATGTCTCTGTCTCATGTTGTCTCTGTCTCATGTCTCTGTCTCATGTTGTCTCTGTCTCATGTCTGTCTCATGTTGTCTCTGTCTCATGTCTCTGTCTCATGTTGTCTCTGTCTCATGTCTCTGTCTCATGTTGTCTCTGTCTCATGTCTCTGTCTCATGTCTCTGTCTCATGTTGTCTCTGTCTCATGTCTCTGTCTCATGTTGTCTCTGTCTCATGATGTCTCTGTCTCGTGACGCCTCTGTCTCATGTCGTCTCTGTCTCATGTTGTCTCTGTCTCATGTCTCTGTCTCATGTTGTCTCTGTCTCATGATGTCTCTGTCTCATGTCGTCTCTGTCTCATGTCGTCTCTGTCTCATGTCGTCTCTGTCTCGTGACGCCTCTGTCTCATGTCGTCTCTGTCTCATGACGTCTCTGTCTCATGACATCTCTGTCTCGTCATGACGTCTCATGTCTCATGACGTCTCATGTCTCATGACATCTCTGTCTCGTGACGTCTCTGTCTCATGACGTCTCTGTCTCATGACGTCTCTGTCTCATGACGTCTCTGTCTCATTTCTTCAGCTGGACGACCTTCCAGAGAACTCTCCCATCAACATCGTGCAGACTCCCATCCCCATCACCACATCTGTCCCTAAGAGGGCCAAGAGTCAGAGGAAGAAGGCTCTGGCTGCAGCTCTGGCCACGGCGCAGGAGTACTCTGAGATCAGCATGGAGCAGAAGAAGCTGCAGGTAGGACCTGCTGCTGCTGCTGCTGCTGCTCCTCCTCCTCCTCCTCCTCTGAGCCTCTCTCCTCCTCCTCCTCCTCCTCCTCCTCCTCCTCTGAGCCTCTCTCCTCCTCTAACCCTCTCTCCTCCTGGCAGGAAGCCTTCATCAAGGCTGCAGGGAAGAAGAGTAAGACCTCTGTGGAGTTGGACCTGGGAGACATGCTGGCAGCTCTGGAGAAGCAGCAGCAGGCCATGAAGGCCCGACAGCTCACCAACACCAAGCCTCTGTCCTTCACAGGTACTCTGTCCTACAGGACTCTGTCCTACAGGACTCTGTCCTACAGGACTCTGTCCTACAGGGACTCTGTCCTACAGGACTCTGTCCTACAGGGACTCTGTCCTACAGGACTCTGTCCTACAGGACTCTGTCCTACAGGGACTCTGTCCTACAGGACTCTGTCCTACAGGGACTCTGTCCTACAGGGACTCTGTCCTACAGGTACTCTGTCCTACAGGTACTCTGTCCTACAGGACTCTGTCCTACAGGTACTCTGTCCTACAGGTACTCTGTCCTACAGGACTCTGTCCTACAGGACTCTGTCCTACAGGGACTCTGTCCTACATGTACTCTGTCCTACAGGACTCTGTCCTACA